GGGAAATTACTGGGTGGTCTAGGGAACCCTGTGAATCAGTCTTACTTTCTGGGTCCTTTGGAGTTCCAGTGATTATATGCTGTGGTGGCTGGGGATAGGGTTCTCCCAACTTACATTTTAGCCCAATGAAGGACTGTCCTTGGAGGCCTTCTTGGAGAGTAGTCACAGGCTTTTCTGGAGGGAACTAGGTCTCTTTGCCTTGACTGTCTTTTACTTGGATATATTCACTGCTTTCCATTTCTGATCTGGACCGTGAGGGAATACAAGAGAGAAGTTGGATTAACAAAAAGGTCAATAAAACCCGTCATTACTGAATCAAGAGCAGAAAAGATACAATTTTATTTGAAAATAAAAGAAGAAAATAGAGTCAAGCATGGGAATGCATTAAAATATATTTCCTGCTGCTACTCTGTTCTCTTTTGAAAGTATGTTTTCTTCAGCAGGCAGCTGACTTTTTCTCCTCGGTGTAGGTAAGTCTAGGTCAAATGGATGGGACTAGAAGGAAGATGGATGAGGGCTGGGGAGGGGCAAATGGACACTTAGTGGCAGGTGGACACTTTCAGGCCTGACTATTCTCAGAAACCATTTACCAGGCAGCTTTAAATCACAGTCAAGAGAGAGGTGCTGCTTCAGTCACTCAGGTGTCACAGTCAAGAGAGGTAAATATATTTTGTGTGACTGTGTGTGTACTGCTCTTCAGGGATTCTTTATTCTGAGGATCCAGAGGTGAGCTCTATGGTCTTTGAACACCATAAAAATTAGAGAATAATCTCTGGGAAGAGGGTCCATGACTTTCATCAAATTCTCGGAAGTAGCCATGATACAAATAGTTTAAGAGCTAGATGCTGGTTTTCCAGGAAGGGATGGGCAGGAGTGGTGGTGGTGGCTGCATAAGACATTGCGATAAAACATATCCCATCATATTATATAATGGGTGCTAACTGATGGCTTAAAAATGATTTGAGCTTTTGACTTTGAGTCTATTAGATGCCATTCCGTTTTAACTTCTAGTTAAATTTCTAGTCAAATTACTTTATTTTAACATTATCCCATCCCTATTCTTACTGTTTGAATTCATCGGCTAGTTCTAATCAATAACATTTTCACAGGCAAAATCTTTCTAAATTTCAGTGCAGTTTCATTTTTGTTTACAACACTGATTTCCACAGTATTGTGGATAATTATTTCATACCTGATAGACTTTCAGGATTTACTTAGTATTAGCAAGACCCAAACCCAGAAAACCTGACTTACAGTTTCAAGATGACAGAGGTGACAGATAAAGACCTTTATACTCCTTCTCCTTTCAAAAATCACCCCAAAATAACAAGGAGAACAAGAAATGGACACAAATTCTACCTTTCATGGAACCGTAATATATGAAGGCAGAAAATGGAGGGAAGCTGGTTCATAGCAGAGAAAAGGAAGGTCCAACCCAAGTGCCTTCAGGGCGAGGGAGTGAAGGAAGGGTGCACATGAGTAACAACGCCCCCAGAATCTCTCAAGGCTCAGGAATCGTAGGATCATGCCACACAAATGGGGTGAAGTAATGTGAGGGGGGTGAGGTCAGGTGAGGGGGTGAGGGAAGGTGAGGTGGAGTGAGCGATGATGCCAACGTGGAGTCCCAAGTCCCGATTCCCTCCCCATGCAGTCAGAGGGCTACTCTCCCTCTCACCTATTCAGGAAACCGGAATGTTTTCTGGAGAAACTGAACCCCAGACTTGGGGACACCAGCAAAAGAAAAGTTAGGGTGAGGTGCACCCTGAAAATAAAAGAATTAAGTGAAAGTCTGTATCCTCAAAGGCTAGAAGCTACAGTTCTCTTTTCTCAGAATGCTAACATCCATGTTTATGCCATTTTCAAGCAAGAGATTGGAAAGTCTAGAGAAAATGAGTTTAGATGATGACATTTGGGGATCTCCAGCAAAAAACCAGCTGGCCATCTGCTCAGCCTGTGGTAAGGCCCAGCGATCTACAGACACTACCCCGTGCACTGGTGTGCGGTGAATGTTGTAATGCTTTACTCTGAAATATGCGTAGACTACCCAGGATACCAGGAATTTGAGGAAACCACCAATCCCAGAGAAAAGGCGTTCAGAGGAAACGGCAATCAGGGAGCAGAAGAGAACCTCAGCGGAATTATAATTAATATCCTCAAAAAGATAAGAGATGATAATGCATCCGTGAGAGAAGACTAGCATGCTGTTAGAAAAGGAGCAGCAGACAAGAAAAGCTTATAAATTAAAAGTATTACTCCTGGAAAGTAAGAGGGGAAAAGTCAACATGGACAATGGGAAAGAAGAGACGAGAAAATAAGGAAATCAATACAGGAAGTCCAATATCCCACCAACTGGAGTTCCATTCAAGTAGGACAGAACAAATAGTGAAGAGGAAATTATAAAAAACAAACAAACAAACAAAAAAAACGATTACAAAAACATACCGAAGAAAATGAGCCTCCAGATTAAAAAGACTTACTGAGAAAAATGATGGGAAAGACGTTCCAAACCAAAGCATATCTTTGTGAAACTGCTGAACCCCAGGGATAGAGAGAGGATTCCAAAAGAACAAAAATCAAGTAACATTCAAAGTATTAGGAATAAGAAGGGTATACGCTTCTCGAAAGCAACTTCAGGAGTTAGAAAACAAATAATAGAGCAGTCTTTCAAAATTCTGAGTGAAAATATTCCAACCTAGAATTGTCAGGGAAGCTAACAACTGAGCAGGAGAATAGATGAAAGACATTCTCAGTCACGCAAAGCCTCCAAAAAAGATTTAAGTGCTCAGTGTTAAAAAATTAACACCCTTTCTCATGAGGCCACTGTCAGATGTACTCCCCCAAAAATGAGGGGGCAGATGAGGAAAGGAAGGGATGTGAGATGCAGGAGACAGGAAATCAGCCCCAGGAGGGGAGAGCTGGCAGCAGACAGAGAATCCAGACCAAAGAGCAGGACCAGGCCACGGCCAAGAGTCCCCACAACAGGAAGGAGTCTAATAAATGAGGCTTTGGAGAGCTGTGTAGGATGCAGAGAAATCTTAACTCCAGGAAATGAAAGCATTTACATAAGAAAGAAAACAATCATTGGATACTAGCTGGCTCCGCAGTGAATAATAATTATAGAGTAATAATCGGGAAAGCACTGTCTATGGATTGCTGTGCGCGGGTGAGGGGAGAGAGGAAGGGGTGGCTGTGGAGATCAGTTCTCACTTGCCCCAAGACATCAGTGGTTAAGGGCAAACTGTGGCGGGAACAGGCTGGGAGTTTGCCTGCTTCTGCCACTTACTAGCTGTGAGCCCTTGGGCACATTAGTGAGTTTCTCTGTGCCTTGGTTTCCTCTCCTATACCTGAGGAGAATAACAGTTCCGACCTCACAGGGCTGTTAGTTAGAATTAAATAAGTTAAATAGTTGTAAAGCTCTTAGAACGGTGTCCAGCACGTAGGAAGGACTATAGAAGTACCTGATGAATAAACAAGTGCTAATAATATGTGGATACTACATAGAAATACCGTGGAAAATACCTACCAAAGTAGGTAAAGAAGAAAATGGAAGGTGGTTGCCTTTGGGAATCAAGCAAGGAGAAGGATGACTGACTACTGTTTCTTGATTCTAAGTCTCTCACTACAATTTGAATTTTTTAAAACTGTTACAGGGGCCAGCCCAGTGGCATAGTGGTTAGGTTCACTCACTCTGCCTGGTGTTTGTGGGTCTAGATCCCGGGTCCGGACATACACGCTGCTCATCAAGCCCTTCTGTGGTGGCGTCCCACATACAAAATGGAGGAAGATTGGCACAGGTGTTAGCTCAGTGACAATCTTCCTCAAGCAAGAAGAGGAAAGTTGACAATAGATGTTAGCTCAGGGCCAATCTTCCTTACCAAAAACAAACAAAAAAACTATTACAGATATTACAGAAACATATTGTTCAGTTATTTCTGCAATAAAAACATAATTAATTAAAAAATAAAGTTTTCGTTGTTGTAAGAAAAGTGTTTTACAAATACTAGCTAGTCATCCTAGATCTGGGGGAAAAAATACATGTAAAAAGGGACGCAATTTGAACCCCATCTATCCTCTGCTCCCACCCTCAGATAAAGATTGTAATAAGTAATGAAGTGGGAAACTTACTTAGAGGGGAGACATATAGGCCTTGGATTAGGAAAATGCATAGCCTCGCTTTCTAGAGGTTCACTTCCTTTTCTAAACTGATGAACGGACAGCAGGAACCAAAGAACCGTTGCTGATCCTGGTTACGTAATTAATCATGCTGCTCCCCAAAGAAATCACCCCACACGTATGCATTTCACAAACGAGCTACCAGAGGATAATAAAAAAAGAATTCCATGTAACGCATACTCCACCTGATCCGCAATCTGGCTTGCCTAATCCTCTGCCAAATTCTAGTTTTCAAGACATGCACTGCCTTATTATCTGTACAAATTTAATCTGTCCACCAAGCTAATATGAATTAAGGTATTTACAAGATAACTCCTAGAATATCATCATGTAACAATTTGAGCACTTCTAAGTTGCTTATTTTCGTATGAAAAAAAGATTTTTTCTTTTGCCTGCTTTCGTTTAAGTGGCATCTGGTGGATATAGCATTCAGTTCTAAATTCACGGCCCCTTCTTCTCCCCCGACCAGTAAGCACGATGCCCATCATTGAAATGTAGAATCACACAACACGTTCTGCTCTGGGCCTTTGCCAAACTGTCACTGCATCTGAACAGTGCAGCCTCTTCTCTAAAAAGGGAACAAAATAGTCTGAACTTTGTCCTGGTGTGCCAGCGTGGGCCACTGTGACAGCAAGCTAATTCATCACTGTGGGGACCTTAGGCTGTCCAACTGACCACCCAACTCACTGTCATCTGAGGGGGTGGCAGTTAATCATTTCCTTAAATGATGTGGGTATGAAAACAGAGCTGATTGTTGCTCAGCAGACGAACCTTATCCATCCTTTCTGCCCCGAGTAGTGACTGTTGCCATTTTCCCTTCTTCTCAGACTGCTGGGTTTCAAGAGATTCTGACCGAGGTGGAAATTTTAGCCGTGATTGTGGGATGCCTGTGTCATGACCTCGACCACAGGGGAACCAACAATGCCTTCCAAGCTAAGTAAGTGTTCTAATTGTTGTTATTTTAATGCATTTGCCTTTCTGTTCAGAGCCAAAGGTGACGAGTGCTAAAGAGTAAAGCATTAATTTCTGGCATCGGAGGCCAAGGCCACGCAGGCTTGGGCGGGCGTGTCATGGGGCCCATCCATCTTTATAATTCCCTATTCTTCTTTTAATTGCAAATTTGCCCTTCATGTCATGCTTGTTGATTTGGTCTGTCTCTGTTGACCTCAGTCAGATAACAAAGCTCAGTTTTTAAAGGGCCTGTTTTTTTTTCTTCCAGAATATTTGCCTTCACGGCCTTATGAGCTTCTTGGACTTGCTACTCTCAAAATATGGTTTTGAAACTGTTGAAATAAAAGTAGTCTTAGGAAATTTTGTGAAACAAAATATCTCTTCCTTCCCCAATAGAATCTCTTCCAGGTTCTTTTGAGGTTGAGTGTCATACAAACTGCAGTGAAGTAAAGCAACACAAGAGCGCTGTAGTCTCTGCCCCTCGTATGCCTCCTCCCATAGAAAGGTGGGAAATGAACAAAGGAATTACATCCATACTGGGCATGTGTAGGCACATAATGTGCACCATCAGAATAATCTGTCCCTAAGCAAGTTGGACTGGTTAAGATAGCTGTTGCTTGGTGGCGCACACTGTGGCTAAGGCCATGGAATTTGTGGATGCTGGAAAGAAGACCAAAACCCAGATCTTCTAACTCTTATATTTAGGGTCCAGTTTTAATGTTCTTTTTACTACCTGTCTGCAAACAAAATGATATATGAGTTCAGAGGCTGGAGAAAAAAGTTTGGGGATGGAGAAGTTAAGGAAGGCTTCAACAAAGAGGTAAGATTAACTTTCAGATGACCAGTTTCAAAGCCCTTATAACAGGTGTATCTCCATAGTCTCAAACATCAACAGCCAGCTGTGGGTCAACAGCTCGTCACTCTTTGTTCCCAAAATACCTACCTGTCGAGGCCTTGGAGTCCTGGCCCCTTGCGTTTGCTCCTGATCTATCAAATAAACTTTGATTTTGTGCCTTTCTCTATCCTCCTGGATCCTACAGCCCATCAACTCAACCCTCTCTTCTCAATATCCTACAATTTCTTGACCCTCTTAATTTTGTGATATCTACTCTGCAAAAACTCAGCCCCAGTTCAATCTAACAATTCAAACTCTTGCTATTCTGACTGGACTTTTAAAGGCTTTGGGGGAAAATGTTACAGTTGTGAGAGTTTGAGACAAACCAAATATATATTCTCCCAACTTAGCTGGATGCTCACTACTCCCCACCAATCTTTCTGTCCCTAGGCAGCTCTGTCCCCCATTGCTCTTAGCAGTTATCTATACCAAACGTCCTCCCTTCCTACACTCCTCCTGTCTACCTCCTCCCCCACAGCACTCAGCAGATCACCTTGCCTCCTCCTTCACAGAGAAAATTGAGGCCATCAATCGAGAACTCCCTCAATTTCCTCCCCTGCCATGTACAAACTTATCTGTCTGGCCCCATCCTCTCCTCCTTCCCCACTATCTCCATGAAAGGGCTGTTCTTCCTCTTGTTTGAGGCTAATCCCCCCACCTCAGTTTTGGATCTCTTTCTTGCTCCCTCCTCCGGAACCTTGCTCCATCAATCTTCCTCTTTCTGCCCCGTATCTTCCTTCCCCTTTCTACTAGCACTCAGCATCCTATTAATATGAGCAATTCTCCACCCTCTTGAAAAGCTCACCTCAATTGCCACTTCTCTCCCTAGCTTCTGTTCTATTTCTCTTCTTTCCTTTCTAGTCAATCTTCTTGGTAAGTTGTCTGTTCATTGTCTTCCATTCCCCAACCCCCACCCTCCTATGTGGCTTCCAGTTCTGCCTCACCGGGGGAACTGCCCTCAGTAATGCCCAACCCCCCCCAGAGCTATTGGACTTTCTTATTGTCCTTCTTTCTTGACCCTTCTTGCCATGAGACACATTCTGCCACTCCCTCCTTCCTAGAACTCTCTTCCTTTGTCTCCCAGACAGAGGGTTTTCAACTGCTTTTCCAGCCTTTCTTCTCAGTTCGCATCAAGGCCTCTCTCTGTCTGCCCCAGCCTTTACTGGTGATGTTCTCTCCTGCTCCCCTCTTTCTCTACATCATCCTTCATGCAGGGCCTCCGCCCAACTGCTGGTCAGCCCTAAACTCATATCTCTGAACCATAATTCTTTGCTCAACTCCAGACACTTATTCCAGCTGTTTGAGGAGCACCTCCTGTTTGAAGTCTCACAGTGACTCCAATCTCGGTCTTTCCCTTTACAGTTGTCCTTTCTCTCTTATTCTCTATGCCAGTGAATGGCACCACCAGAAATCCACAAGTCACCCAGATTCCTTCCTTAGCACCCCTCAGAGTCGACTTCTCTGCATTCTTACAGTAACTACTGCTTCTTTGCATCTCTCCTGGATTTCTACAACAAACAACCTAACTCTCCTCCTCCAGTCTCCCCCTATTGGCACTCCAGAATAGTCTTTGTAATTCATAAAGCTGATGAGGTCACTTCCCTGCTTCAAAGCCATTCACCCACCTCCTGTGACTTTCAGGACAATGTTCAAATTCCTTTATTTTGCCCCTTAAGGCCCTTTTCAATCAGGCTGCTCCCCATTTTCCTGGCCAAGCATTCATTCCTTCCACCTCCACCCCAACCCATGCATGTGTGTTCCCGACACAACGGGCCACTTGAAGTGCTCCATGGCGTCTGTCTAGTTCATTTCGCTCTGCTCCCCAGTATGCTGTTTCCCCTGCCTGGAATGTCCTTCCTCTCCTTCTTTGCCCACAACTCCTCTGAAAGTACCACCGCCAGGATTCTATCCCTGATGTACCTTCCCCTTGTCAATTTTCTGCATCCACATAATGCCCTGGCCATGCTTTTTCGTAATTGTGCATCTCACTCTATTTTAATTGCTGACTTACATGTGTCTCCCCTTCCTCTTGAGTACCCCTGATGTGTAGCAGGTACAGGAGCATAGTAAACTCACAGCGTGTGTTTGCTGAGTGAATGAATGAATGGTGAATGCATGAATGGGTGAGATTTCATTTTAACTATTTTAACATAGCTTTTCAATAGTTTCTTGATTTCTTAAACAAGTGTAACCTTTTATAGATTATTATAAAACATAGTTTTTATACATGAAGTTTTGATGTTATACTAAAGACACAATAGTGTCCCTGGGGTCTACTGAAGTGTAAACTGTGTATACTTTCATTATAAGGTCTGACAATTCCTTATTTTTGCATTTCTGTCTGCATTTCATTACTTTTTTTAGGATGCCTCTCTCTGTCTCAGGCCAATGGCATCATTGTCAGTGTTTCTTCCTCTAGCACCCTCTCTCCAGCCCCCTACCGTTTGCCACTTAGGCATAAAGAAGAGATAAATGTATTAGAATTGTGTCTTTAAAACAACAGTGACCAGCTTGTGAGTTCTTTTAAGAGTCAAGTGCACAATACTCGTACTCAGGTACTAATGGCCCCTCCCCAGAGAGAGCCTGAGTCTCACACCGAAGGAGGCAGCCCTTCGTGCTAGTTGACCTCTCAGCTCTTTGGACCAAAAGTACACACCTAATCAAACCCCAGCTAGTCATATTTTATCTCCCAGGAATTTGGAGTTGGATTACCATGATATTGACTCAGTTAGCTGTTGATTCCAACCTGCAGATCCACATAGGCTTGGGAGCTGAGGCTGCCATTTGGGGAAAGCTGTGATGACCACATCCTAAGTGGATAAGAGCAACAAGAAAGCGAACCTGCAGAGAGAAGAAACTAGATATTCAGAGAGAAGCAGAAAGAAGAGATTGTACAACCCCAGAGAAAGACAGAGAAAAGGCACCCCTGCTTTCCACATCTCTACTCCTGTTTCCAGGAGACCCAACCATACTTGGGCTCCCTCGGAGTTCTTGCTATCGTTTGATCAACTCTTTTTTTAGTGAAGCTGGTTCTGATTAATTTCTGTTCTTTGCAATTAGGAGTCCCTGAGACAATGAGAAGAACTACAATTTATTTGTTGTTTGCTATTTTAAGCACTCACCAACATCCCTGTAGGGTAGGTATTTTTGTCTCCATTTTATGAGAGGAACTGAGCCTCAGGAAAGAGTAATGTGGCAGATCCAGAATGTGGCAGAGTGGAGTTTGGACCTGGGCTATCTGATTCCAAAAGCCGTTCTTTAACCGCTGCATCATACTCTCTTTCAAGACTTTGTGATATTTATTTTGGGCCTTTGAGCTCCCAGTTTATTGGCTGACTTGCCATATATGTGAGCTCATGGAAAACTCAAATATATTTTGACATCCAGAAAATCAAGACATGGAGCCATAAAAAATCATAGAACTGACCTAGACCTTATTAGCCATATTTTTCAACACCTTAATTTTACAAAAATGGAAACCGAGGTCCCCAAATCTCAAGTGATTTGTATAAGATTGAATATCGTTCACACATATGAGATAGGCATTATGTCGCTGATACTAGTATTCAATTGCTTTTTTTTTTTTTTTGCTTCTTCATACCACGTGGTCAAATCTAGCTGTTCCAAGATGATCTGATGTGTTTCCTCAAGACAACTGATCGTGTATACAATTTGCCAGCTCGTGGGATGTCCATCACCCCTGCCCTTAACTAATAGAGTCACTTTTGAACTTAGGACACCAAGTGCCACCACCACCCAACCTCAGTTAAAATTTCCTTTGAAAATGAATGTAGAAAGAGACCTTTTTACATCATGGTGGAGGAAGTACCTTTTTATTGATTAGAATAAGATTTATTCAGTAAATGTGCCATTGTTTAGAAAATCCCTAAGAAGAAATCTATATCCTTATTTCCCTTTCTATTCCCCAATAATTGAGCACTTTCTGTGTGCAAGCTCTGTGCTAAGCATTGTGGGAGAAATAAAGAAGTATAATAAACAGTCCCTTCACTTAAAGTATTCACAGTCTAATTCCAACCTTTCAAGTGATTTGGAAATGGGATTTAAATGCACCGATTATTATGTAGCAAAGCATATGCTACCTTTTTTTCATATATAAGGCTATAAAGAAACAGGAGACATTTAGCAAGGGACAAATTACTATATAAAATGCAAAATGCCTCTACAATAAAAAGTTGTGACTTTAGTTATAGCACAATATGATTTATTCTCTTAGCCTTTCTGATAAGTGAACCTTTGCATTTTCATATTTTATTCTTAATTTTTAAGTATTGGAGTGCGTGCAACGAATGATCAATAGGGAGAGAGGGCAGTGATACCATAGTCCTTTGAAATTGCTCTGTTAACACCTCTCTCCTGTTTTCTCCAGGGACAGCATTCCCCACTCATCCCCCTCTCTATTACAGCTGCCCCTGATGATTAAATATCAGTACTGAGCAGCTTTGTAGTATATTCTCCTAGGAGACTTCTTCTATTCATTTCTAGCATAATCTCTTATACTCATTTCTTGGGAGTGAAAACCCATCTTGTCGCTTTCAGCCAGGTCCCAGAAGTGAAATACTGGGGCACATTAATCTGCCGTGACAGCCTAATCCCATTCCTCGCCACCTCCCAACAAGTCTCAATTTCCTAATTACCTTTCATAGTTTTCCTTTTTAAAGTTTCCTATATGCTGTGGCTGTGCACGTCCGTGAAGTCTCTTTTTCAAAGAATATGCTTATCTCGGGAAGTTATGAAAGTACAGTTCCTTTTACACGCTTAATTTGGTGCCTGTGCAAAGTGCTGGATGCCTGTAGGAACAGAATTTTTGCTTTGACTTTTCTTTTTAATAAGTTTCTCCTTGGTGTGCTGCCTGTCCAAAAATGAAAAAACTGTAGTCTGTTGGGATGACCTAACCAATAATGAGCATCATGAATAATCACATGTATAAATATCCTTGTGCTTGGGCAATGTGGGTACTCTTCCTCTCTCCTCCTCTTCTCCTCTCTCCACACACCCTACCCACATACACGCCACATGTCTATATCTCATATTTTCACGATTACAGTGTGTGTGCTCCAAAGCTACTTACATGGTGGATATATTTACCACAATTAAAATGGAGTGTGGTGTTACAGTCCGTTTTTTTCCATAAGTGATTGATTTGGGGTTTTCTTCATCATATTTTACATGAAAATGTGGAAGTATACCTTTACACAAAGTATATTACATGAAAGACATGGCCTCTTTTAAAAAATGGTTTTCTGACTAAGTAAGATTGGTTAATACTGCATATTATATTCCCCTCCTGCAATATCACAATGCATACTTTCACATAGAGATGTTGCTGCAAAATCCTACAATAAACAGTTTAACTTTTTAAACCCAGCATTTCCCAAATGTATGTGACCATGGGACCCTTTCTATTTCTGCCCATACTGCCATTTAACACTCCAAAGAACTAGTATTCTATAGAATACTTTTTGATAAAGTTTATCCTAGCAGATACATTTTGTTTTTTGACACATATCAAGTTTTATGACTGCAGACTTCCCTCTCATGTGCCTAGGAGATTCACAGTGTGTATATATGTCATAGCAGGTATAGGCAGTGTTCTCGGTGAGCCTTGGCCTGAGAGAGAAGGCACCAAGAGGTTTTGCAGTCTTAGAAAATCTGACGGAGACCAAATCTAACAGTGTAAATCAAGGATCCATATGGAAATAGAAGCATTCCTGCTTAGATGATTGTACTCTAGAAAAGTCAAAGTAGAGTTAGTACCATGCTGCATTCCATGAATGCTAAGATGGCACCTTGCTCACAGAAAGGTGAGCATTCTTAGTGTGAATCTGGTCAGAGAGAGTCTCCTACACAATTGTAGGGGACTGTCAGCTTCCTGAGGGTGAGCGTCGTGTCTTATTTGTCTTCGTATTCCATGTGCCTGCAGCCTGGCGTCGTAATAGTCATCAGTACTTGTTGGGTGAAGGAATGTAGACGGCGGGATGAATGAATCAGTGTCTTCCTACACTTTCATTGCATTGGTCTGGTTCAGTTGCAAAATCTACATATTTTTGTGATTAACTCAGTATTGTGTGAGGGTGAGGAGAATGTAAGTAGGAATTACAAAAAGGAGCAAAGAGAGAGTCTAATGATGATGCTCAAACCATGGACGGTCAGAGGACGGCTGCCTTTGCACAAACCCCCTGAGAGTCCTTCTGATGAAACACAGCAGTTCAGAAGCCATATGGCCCTGGGGAAGGGGAGAGGTGCAGCATAGGAGGCACCAGTGTGTTTGTGATAAGCTGTCCCCTCGTTAAAGGAGGAAACATCCTACTCACGCCCAAAAAAGAAAATATAAAGTGATTTGTGATCATCTAGCTGATTTAACTTTTATGAAGTCTGCTAAACCTAGGTGATAAAGGAAGAGATAATATTTTGCATCTTGACCCTACCTTACATCAGCGATTCTGTTATCAGGATTCACACCAGGAAGTGAGGTGCCCACATGGCTGGTTAATAGAAATGAATTACAGGAATCTGAGCCTGCAGTTAGTGGTTATACTAGTAGAATTCTGAATTAAATTTTGAAATCTTTCATTGATGACAACCTGCTTGGCAAAAATGGAGAACTGAATATCAGAAATATATAAGTTATAATTATCATTCTCATTACGTAATGAGAAGAAGCTTAAAAACTTAGATTCCAGTCTAGAACAGGTACTTACTAGCGGTGTGACCTTGGAAAAGTTGCATAATTTCTCTGAGTCTTGGTTCCTTCATCTGTAAAATGAGAAAATAATACCTGTTTCATGGTTGTTGTCAGGATTAGGTGAAATAATGTATTAAGTTGTTAATATGTTGCCTAGTCCATGATAGGTACTTACTCCTGATAGCTATTATTATTATTAACATTATTATAAAATGTTAACACACATTACTGTCAGCCTTCCAATTTGAACTGCAGTCTCATACATACCACTGCAAGCTTACTAACCAAGCAGCTAATAATTTTTTAGGCACCTACTTCATGCCAGGCATTCGGATGTGACATGCACATAAAACATTCTAGAATTTCAAAAACTAAAACAAAGACATACAGTATGCATTTTGAAAAACATATTTTCATAAAAATGAATTTTATGTTAGAAAAATAGTAACTAACATTAATTAATCACTGATTACGAGGATTAGCCTAACAAATTTTTCACTTATTAAATGCTATAGATTAAGGCAAGATTTAAAGAAATAACACATACCTGATTAAAATCTAGTACCCTCCTTACTAACGTCATTCGTAATAAGCCCTACTGAACCTAACCCTGCTGTTTCTTGCAACATGTGCTCAGCTCTGATTCTTTCCCCTGGGGCCCCGAACTGGCGGTGACCTTGGGCTGCCTCGCACTGGAGATGAAGGTCAGTTTATGACCGAAATCCTTCACTTTGCACTAAGATGCAGTCTTTGCTCCTCTCGCCAGCAGGGTGGACTGTGAGCTGTCAATCTCCAGCATTTCCAATTTGAGGCCAAATTGCCCTTTCAGTGTCCAACCTCCCTACAAAGATCAAGAAAGAACACAAGGACCTTGATGGGTCCTCAGCCGGAGTCCCATGACTGCTCTTTAAACTGTAGGGTTCTCTGGATCTCTCCTGACTCTAAGGTGCTCTAAATCCTAATCCAAAAGAATCGGAAATGAACGCACTTGAACATTTTAAATGACCACATTGCCCAAATGACATTGTTGAGGAATGAGTTGTTCGATGTAAGCAAAATTTACAAATAATTCAAAATAAGCCTTTCAAGTATCAATTAACATTTTATTTATTTAAAATGGAAATGTACATGTGTGTTTTAATTATTGATTAATTAATATAGACTATAATCTACTACATGACAGGCAGTGTGATACGCACTTTCAAATATTTTATTATATTCTCATAAATGACAGGTGAGGTAAATAGTATTATCACAAGTTTAGAGATGAACACACTAAGTCATAAAGCACCCAAGTAATGTCCAAAGCTGTTAGTAAGAGCTGCGGTCTGATTCCAAATCCTGGGAACTTTCCAGAGTTCTACACTGAGATAGCGTAAGCGACTGTGGGCTGGGAAACCATAGGAGAAGGTTGCCAACCTTACATGTAAAGTAGATTAAATGGGCGCCACATAATATTCACAAATTCTTTTCCCACAAAGAGTCAAATACATTTGGTATAAGATAGTTGTTCTGGACACTCAGAAACTGTATAAGGCTTAGTTCATGCAGCCTATCCTGATCCTCAGGGACAGAAATTATGTCTTTTGTCCTCAGATCATCCAAAGCACTTTGGACCTGGAACACTTTCTATGGTATTTGTATTGTGTGTTATGTGCATTATTTCTCCTTATGATCACTCTCATCTCCCTTACTAGTCTGTAAATTTCTTAGAGGCATGGACTGTGTCTTATTCATCATTGAATCATCCACAGCACCTAGCCTAACTCATAGAAGTTTCCCGAAAGGTTTACTTCATAGATGAGTGAACTGCACAAGCGGTTCCCTGAGAATGTATCTGCTCATGGTCCTTTGCCAAAGCAGGAAAAGCAGTTTGATCCAAAGAGCTGGTGTCAGGGACATGTTGACAGGTGAAGGGCCTGGTCACTCACCCTTCTGTCCTCTTTCAGGAGCGGCTCTGCCCTGGCCCAACTCTACGGAACATCTGCTACCTTAGAGCATCACCATTTTAACCACGCTGTGATGATCCTTCAGAGTGAGGTACTGACTTAGTGTTCTGCCTCTCCCCTCCACAGAAAACCAATACAACGCTATTTCCTGCCTCTCTTTCTTTGTAGTGCCACAGGTAGATACAGATACAGAGACATGGAACAAGTTTTTTTAAACCAAACTACTGGACCTTTTCTTTGTGGCTTTTTTTGTTGTTATTCTTTCAGATGCCTGACCAAGGACCTTGTTCAGATTCTTCCTGAACTGATTCATTTGGGTTTCATTACTGGTTAGGGAGCTTTCAGATTCACTCATCAGAGGAGACTGCCTATAGCTTGTCGCCAGAGCATGGTCTTACCCTCTTTAAGGGGTACAGAAGCCCACCAACAGAGTGACTTGATCCAAGTAGTAAGTGGCTCAACACTCTCGTTTTGTAAAACCCAAAGCCATTTTAAAATATGGTAGAAGCAGAAACAGGGTGAGAAAGTTACACTCTGTTAGCACAATTTAGAAACCTATGAAAGATAAAAGGACTCAAAATTGCTGGTGGGACCACATTGAAACTAAGAACTGCAACTAAACTGGAGACCCAGAGCTAAGGCCACATGCCTTATTTTGCTTCACGTGGCAATGCAGGAGTTGAAAGTAGTTGGACTTGTATACTTTTAGCTCTCCATGCAGAAAAAGAAAAACTACTAGCTGACTCTGGCTGAGGCGTCTGAGTTTAAAATTGCCAGGAAAGGATCTGTTTAATTTTCTGCAGGCGTGCAGACTTTTTTTTTTTTTTTTTTTGAGGCCAGGAAGGGATCATCTGTTCCCCATTATTTGTCAGTTCTCTAGCTGTGCCATTAATTATTATTATTATCATCATTAAGGCCCTGCTACGCTGGAATAGCATCATTAAATATGGAGGTTTTTTTCCTCCAGCCTATCTTGAGAAAGTGTGTCTTTTGCAATATCAGGAACGCCTTCTTCGACCCCATAAAGGAGAGTCAGCACTCCGGAACCTGAATGTAGCCTGGGAAGGGCAAACCCGCTGGGGGAGATGTGTTTTCAGTTGGGAATGAAACATCAAGGGTTAGGCTCTCAGTAACTCTGACAGAAACCAGCATCCCAGCACCTGGGGCTCTGGAATTTTCCTATGAAAGCCATGTTTTCACTGAGTGCTGTGGAAGAGGGAAGTAGGACAGGAGAAATTTGGGTTCAGGCTATCTTTTCTCTACTGGTAATATGAAGGGTTTATACCTCTGATCCCACCTTTGTAATAACAGGGTTTATAAACAGAATGTCACAGATTTCTTGGAAGGTCACTTGTTTCTTTGCTCAGGGAAACAAAACCCACAAACTCAGAATTTGTCTTCAGATAAACACATGGGCTGCCCTTTACCCTTGGGTTCTCTATGAAGAACGCGGAGTAATAACAGAACCGTGCGCTGAGCAACTGGTGTGTGCAGGGCCTTCCCCCACAGCCCCTCCTGTCCTGCCCATCAGATAAGCAAAAATGCAGATGCTACCATCACCCTACTTTCCAAATGATGCAGAGGCACGGACGTGTTAAATGCCCTCAGGAAAGTTGCTGCAGACCTTTCTCCCTGCACATTTGGGTTTTTTTCCATCAATACCACTCCTTCCTGACCAATGCTGAGGCGGTATTTCAGGGACCAAACCCTCTAGGTGCTATAGAAGCCCAATTTGCATATAAACAATACACTGATTGCAAATCAACTCGTTTTATCATTATTATTAAAGCTGATCTGGCTTGCTTTGTCACTCTGTTAGCTGTAAATTGTGTTAGTTACTATATGTCCTTTAAAAGTAGTAAAACACACTCTCTCACAGAATAATCAAGAATTTGAAATTCAGACCAGCTTTCTCCTGGACTTCACATTAGATTTTACTGTAACTTGTTCCTAACATCTGTATTTCTTTCACTGGGAGATGCTCAATGTGTGGCTGGATCTGGGTGACTACTATTCCATAGCTTCCAACCACTTTTTCCCAGGCCCCAGTTCACGGGCCTGTGATTGATCCATGGGGCAAGGCTCAGGCAGAGAAACCTGGGCAGAATTATGGTATGGCATTCCTTTAGTTATTTGTCTTCTTCCTAATGGCTGAATTAAGGGTCTGGAAGAGTTCATTTGAAAATTATTATTAATATTGGACCTCGTCCCAGGTGGAACCAATATACTCTAGTCTTTAAGGAGTGGCGAGTTCACCCAGTGAGATAAATTAACTCATGGGAGCAGATTATCATCTGGTGCCTGGTAGGCGGTAATTTACTAATTGATATTCTGGTTCTCTGAAAGAATTAATTTACCTCTTGTTGGAGAATAGTTTATTCTCAGGCAGTCATTCCACCCCCTTCCTTCTGCACCATCTTCTGGCTCTCAACAGTAGGTTTAAAACAAGTCCAGTTCCTGGGCCACATATTTATGACTTCATATTTCATGCTAAGAAAACCTGATAAATGAAAAGTCCTGACTTTCAAAGCAAATTAAGTGAACTGTCAGTCACTTTACAGAAGGATTTTTCGCCTTACTAAAAACATCGTGGATCTGCCTAGTGTAGCTAAAACAAATTCTGATGAAAAGCAGTGTGCTTTTCAAAGGTTCGGAGCTAACAGGTGTATTTGCAAGTTTTCCTAGGTGTAAGTCATCTTTTAGAGTCCTGAGAATTAGGCCAAGAACAATATCTTATACGTCCTAGCTACTCAGTAATTATGGGCTGAATTTAATCTACTACACACTTCCTCAAGATGTATTTTCACAGTTTAACACAAGTTTTCTCAACTTCAGCAGTACTGACATGTTGGGCCAGGGACATCTTTGTTGTGGGGGCTGTCTCGTGCATGGTAGGATGTTTAGTAGCATCCCTGGCCTCTACCCACTAGATGCCAGTAGCACCACCCCCACCAGTGTGACACTCAAAAATGTCTCTAAACACAGCCAGAAGTCCCCATTGCCAGTCACCCCCAGTTGAGAACCACTGGTCTAATGTTTTTTCTCCTCCTTGAAGTTATTTGTTGCCATAACAAGTACTTCCAAAATGCCAACTTAAGTCTTTGCTAGTGAAACTAGTATTTATTTTAGGGTCAGAAAGATTCCCAAATGTTTTTTCAACTTCTCCACTCAGTAATTCCACAGGAAATGGGCAGTCACATGGAGTTGTTGGCATAAACATATCCATAGTAATACAAGTTCAAACGTTTTTCAGAGTTTTCTCTTCAAAACTAGACATAATAAAGTGTCCCTTGGTAGTTTCCCTCAAAAATGATTGCACTTTCTAGCTTTGCTGTGTTTGCCAGGGAATTTGTTTGTATTTGCACAAAATTTCATTAACCTCTTTAAAAAAATGTTTTTATCATGTTCCCATACTTTTTTTTTAATATAGGAAAAACACGTAATAAACAACCTCTGATTTAATGTTGTCTTTTGTGACTTTTTACTTTCCCATTACAGGGTCACAACATCTTTGCTAATTTGTCCTCCAAGGAATATAGTGACCTTATGCAGCTTTTGAAGCAGTCAATATTGGCTACAGACCTCACGCTGTACTTTGAGTAGGTATTGGCATTTGATCGCTTTGACAAATTGGTATCTAAAGTTTCATCCTGTAATTAATTTTCAGGTCCATATTGGGGTTACTTGTTATTCTAGCACTGATATCAAGGTGTAAATGAGCTGAACTTTTTGTTGTTGCTTTCCCCTCATCCACATGAACCTCATTAAGGCGGAATCTACAAGACAAGAGAATCAGGGCTGCAGTAGTGAGATTTATGTCTTTCTTCTGTTTTATGAGCCTTGGTTGGGACTCTTGACTCTGAAACTAAGTGATGGCCATTTTTATTTTAGAGAATGGCTAAGATTGCTATTTTAGACTATTAGTTCTGGTCAGATCTATAATGGCATTGATGATGCTAATGAAAAAGATTTGTTGCTGAAAAATTGACTAAAAGTCCAGGCCTTCATTCCTTGCCTCCTCTCTCTTTCTCAGAGGAGCTGTCCCCCTTTTTTCCAAAAGTCAGGCCTCTATATGAGGCGGAAATTCCATCCCTCTCATCTCAATCATTTTTCATCCTTATCTTCCACTTCTCTCCTACGTGATCTGTCTACTCCAATCAGACTGGTCTCCGTGTTACCTTTTGAAAACACCTTATGCAGTGCCCCTTGTGCCCTAATCATGTCGTTGTTTCTACCTTGAATCCTGTCCCTCCACTTCCCCATCTGGCTGAACTATCCTTTAAGGTCTGTCTCTTCCACCACTTTTTCTAGGAAGCCTGTGTCACTCCCTTTGAAGTCGTACTGCACTTTGGCGTTTTGTCAGTTAGAATTATATTCAGTTGTAAGGAACAGAAAACCCAAAATAACAGTGGCTTACTTCTCTGTCACATAAAAGAAGTCTGGACATCAGCAATCTGGAATTGGTAGAGTAGCTACATTAAGTCATCGGGGACTCAGGCTCCTTCTGTCTTTCTGTGCTGCCACCTTCAACACATGGTTTCCACCTTAGTCCAAGGTAACTGTTCAAGCTCCAGCCATAATGCCACATTCCAACTAGCAGAAAGGAGGAAGGGACAAAGAAGAAAAGAGCCAAAAGGTGATGCAAGATATCTTTTAAGGGATTTTTCTAGAAGCTCCACATAGCACTTCCACTTCATTTCCTTTGTCAGAATTTAATCACTTGGCCATACCTAGGTTGAAGGAGGGTTAGGAAAGGAAGTCTTTATTCTGGGTAGCTATGTGCTCCACTAAAACCTAGTGGTTCTATTACTAAGAAAAAAAGGGAGAAGGATATTGGAGTAGACAACTGACAATCTATGCTACATGTATTTCTTGGTGGATTCTGCTGAATGGGTTTTTACATGGTATAGTGGAAGGAACAAAGGCTTTGGATGTATGTTGGTCTGGATGTAAATCTCATTCTGGCATTCTAGTTAAACCTGGGGTATTGAGCCCAAGTGTCTATGTCTTCTCCCTCCTGAAATTCCACTGAAATGACACCAAATAAATTTAAAATAAAAAGAAAGGCATAATCTGAAAAGAGAAAGAGAGAGAATACACAACAACTGATAAGAGATGTCAATGCCTTTGTGGAAAATGGAAGGCTGACCAATGAATGATAACTGTTCTAGCAGAGTAGAAGTGGAAAGTAGGCCCTACAGAGGAGGACAACTCTGAGAAGCAAGACAATTTGCCTTGTAGAACCTTGTTTGGGGCTTCGAGACAAAAAGCACCATGAAAAGTGGATGTGACACTCAAAGTTTAAGACAAAGAGATTGCTAGAACGTCAGTTTGCAGAGCACTCAGAGCCCATGACGTCTTCTACCACCATAGCCAGTTAACTCCCTTTCCTCTACCCCTGGAGAGGGCCAAAGGTTTATTCCCTGGAGAAATGAAAGAAAGAGCTTTGGACTGAGGAAAAGTACAAGGTGGGAATCAGATGCAGAGCTCAGAACAGAGGATGAAATGAAATGGAACAAGTCTCTGGATTGAAGACTCATGGACCATACCCCAGTCACCCAGAAGCTAGGAGTCTATAAGCCACACGCCCAGGGTTGTCAGATTTAGCAAATAGAAATACAAGAAGCCCAGTTAAATTTGAATTTCAGATAAACAATGAATAATTTTTAGTACAAATACGTCCCATGCAATGTGTGTGGGGGACACACACATACAACTCCCACTCAGCCTTTTATTGCCTTACTGTTACACACAAATAGATACCAAGGATCACAGAACATTTGATGAAAGCCTCCCATGTGAAACACAGAGGCCAAAACAAACAGGAAAAAAAATGGAATTCAGAGAAAACAGGAAGAGGAAGAAAACAAAAACCAAAAACTATTGTTAATATCCTGAGAGCTAAGATATTGTATCCATGAAACAACAGGATGAGTTAAAAAATAATAGGAGCAACCACAGCAGAAGAAAGAGCTCATGGAAATTAAAAACATAACAGATGAAATAAAAAATAAAATGAAAGCAAGGGGAAATACTGTCAAAGGACAAAAAGGTGACAATATAGAAAACATTGTTTTATTTTATTATATGCTTTTTAGTACTGTTTGAGTTGTTAACTATGTGCATGTATTACCTTGCTAAATATAAATTTAATTAATTTAAAAAATATATTTAAAAATAAAAATCCTAGCTTTGCCGTTATCTGGCTGTGTGTCATCAGACAAATTATTTACCTCTCAGAGCATCTTTACTTCGTGTGTAAAATGGAGATAACAATACCTTTGTTATCTGTCTTATAAGTGTCTTATGTCTTATAAATGTCTTGTATGTCTTATAAATGGCGGCATCTACAACCTCATCGCTTTATAGCCTATTTATTTCGCACGTTTTGAGGCCCTCATGTTTGACTTAACTATCATGATCCTCCATCTTTTTCTGAATTGATGCTCCTTGATTTGGGATTTATGGAAGCCTATATTCCTTTAATGTTTTTAATTCCTGTCTCTGACACTTGCAGGATTTTATGTTATTTTTCTCAAAGTAGAAGCATTTTTCCAAGCCAAGTTTCCAAGTAACTTCAAGGGGGGAAAGAAATCTCAATAGTTTGAGTCCATTTATCAAGCCCTGTTAGGGATGTGACGAATCACTGAGTGACCGCTGGAATGCAGTCAAGGAAGCTGGTTGCAATTCGTTTTCTCATTACTCTGTTCTTATCTTACTGCTGCAGCCCTTGCTAATGTTTGCTGACTCCCAGAGAAGCTGGCTTGTTCTCTTTTTGTCAGCATCATTGTTTTTTGAGGTTCCGAATAGCTGCTCATTCTCTAATCTAGACCTTCAGGAGGCTCATTCACTTGCCTGTCTGAAGTTGCATTAACGTATTGCCGTATTTTTAGCCAAAACAACCCCTAGGGTTAATGACGGGAACAGCAGCTACTATAAAGTCTCACCCAGATGCTTTTATTTCACAAATATACAGTTATGGAATTGGAAGCAGTGCTAGAAATGATGTAATCCAATTCATCTTCCTTATTTTGTAGATCAGGTACTGAGCTCGAAAAGGTTAAATAGTGTAGCTTGGGTCATATAACTACTTAGTGGCTACACTGGAACCCACACCTCCTCTTTCTGGACTTTTTCCACAATCACTGTTTTCCTTCTCTAGTTGAAGAATCAAGAAATAGTTGTCATTTGAATCGAGATTACATAGCATGGCAATATTGACCTTCCCAGGTGTATATTAATCAGCTTAATATGAAAATCAGCATGGGTCCCCTCTGCCCTCTCCCAGAGCAGAGCCGGAGACAAGGACCTGCATGCAGGTAGTGTAGTTTCAGAAGTGACATCAGGCATAGGAGTGGGAGACTGGGATAAGGACACATTCCCTTGTTGGTCACCACTGTGGTCATCTGGGCTTGATCCTGCAGGGACTGTCTGAAATGTGTCATATGCTGCACCTCAAAATTACCACCAACTTCCATCCTCCATCAGCCAAGGTTGTCCCATGAGTGTTAACTGTCACGAACTTCCAGGACTTGCATGCCTGAGGGCTGGGGATTCCCACAGCTGTGCCCACCCCACATGTACAGTCAGAGCCGTGCCAGAGCAGAAACCAAGTGAGGCAAGGGGCCACCCAGGCAGGATCTGTGGCGCTGGTTGAAGAAGCAGCGGCTGGAGAATGGTGGGCCAAGAGGATATGAAGTGGCCCTATACACCTACTTTCTAGAAGTCTGGATTATCGTTGCTTTTTCTGCTCTGACTACTCAGCTCAAAAGTCATAATTCAGTTAAGGTCAGCTGAAAAGGAAGCTCACTGCTTTCCTCCCCTGGGGAAGGGAAGGCAGTCTAGCAACAGCCGGGGCGGGCAGGGAGAAGGTCCAGGCCTTTTAGAGAGGTTTATGACATTCCTCTGGACAGGGTCTCCTGCCATGCGCCAAAAGAGGAAATGTAAGATTCCTGGAAATGTGGAACCCCTTTAAAAACAACCACAAAAACTTGTAACTTTAATTTCTAATGACTTTGGGTGTCCTCGGGATTCTATGCTACAAATGACAGATGAAAGCAGAGTTTATAAGGTTAAAAAACAAAAACAAAACAAAACAAGAAAACCCCAGAGAGAATTTCTAGGCTTCACAACCCAAATCATTCTTCAGTCTGATTTTCCAACTCATTGAAAACATTTTCCAGATTCTGCTGAATGGTGTGTTTTTTTTTTTTAATTGATTTCTGTGCCTATTTCTGATTCCCTACAGTTCATAGGCTTTGATAATTAAACGGTCATTTCAGCATCTCCAACAGGACTTGGATATGCTCTATTGGTAACCAGCCATGTGACTTTGAGACAGTCACTCACTTAATCTCACTTTGCCTTGGTTTCCTTGTCAGCAACATGGGGACAGGCATATCACCCACACCAATCCCCTAGGGTTCTTGTGGTGGTCAAAGGAAAGATAACTTGGTTGTTTAAATAATTAAGATTTAAATGATATAAATAATTTAAATTTGATAACTTTGATCATTTAAATTACCTTCTAAAGAAAAGAATCATTCAGCCAGAAAACTTAATAAAAAGTGTACCATAAAAGATGACACTCATTAGGGTA